TGATGGTTCACAATATATTGCAGGCCCTCATTTACATCCATACGCTGGCCCCGTGCTTTACCCAGGTAGACATCAGTTATCTTATGCTCTTCATTCGTATTCCTGCTTTTCCATTTGTTTTAAAGTTAACAAATTGTGCTTTTCCAGAATATCCCTCAGCCATCTACATGCCGCATCCACCTCCAGAGTCCATGTCTTTGGTTGGACAGTGTTCACCTCAACCTATCTATTTTCCTGGTTTTGATCCCATATTGTTCACTAAAATAGTGAAACAAGTAGATTTTTATTTCAGGTAATTCCTTCTGTCCGTATATTTAGTTTGGTTGTGTTCCTGACCATCTTGTTCTTGGATTCCCATCAATGCTAAATAAATGCCCTTTCCCAGAAATGTAAATAAATAACTTTATCCTTTGCAAAACACGATTGCAGTGCCGACAATTTAAGCAAAGATAAATACTTGCGACAGCACATGGACGATGAGGGTTGGGTTCCTGTTAGCTTAAAGGCCGGTTTTAGAAAAGTATGCATCCCCTTTGTAGCTTTTTCTAGTTGAGTTTGATGCACTTCTTTGTGTTAAGTCATCATCTCTTTTGAAGTACGTGCATCTTGCAGTGATACCTTCACAATCTACGGGAAAATAAATGACCGAGGATACTATTCACGGTCTGCATGTGGCTCAGAATGGTTGTTATGCTACTTAGAGTGCCTCTGTCATATTAAGTTTTGCTCTTTGCTTTGTATATTTGATTCTAATTTGATCTCTCTTATCGCGTGTGATTTAGCAACCCGGGCATTGAAATTTCTTTCAGTTCAAGTGAAAGCTTCGCCATCTTGGCAGTGGCTGTGTGGTGCTAACATTCCGCTGTGGGTCTTTTCATTGTTTCTATCTTTCAGCTTGCTGAACTGACCAACAACGTCCAGATTATATTGGATGCTGTGAAAAGTTCTGCTTTTGTGGAAGTTCAGGTACGCAATCCCATTTTACATGCTTGCAGTCTCTAAGCTTATACTTGTCAAATCGTTGGGACTAAAATTGAGCTCAGAGGGAAGAAGCTTCTTTGAGATTTCTTAGCTTTTTTTTTTTGTTAAAGCTAACATGAAATTTGACATTTGTCCTCCTCTCTATCTTTTTTTTTAACCCAAAAGAAATGGGTAAAAGAAAGCATGTGAAGTTATTAAATGCCTCGATGTTGGTAACAGTTATGGACTTCACATTGCAGGGTGAATCAATAAGGAGACGAGGAGATTGGCAAAAGTATGTATGGCCTCGGGATCTGACTGTAACCGCCACAGCTCAGCCAGCGGCAGGTGCGACTAAGGACGACACACTGGCAGCACATCTTCAGAACATTAAGCTGTCAGACGGCAGGAATCCTTAGACAGGAGGGGAAGAAAGAATAGATGCTGTCCTAGAAGACAGCAACAACAAATGGGGGATGAGCTTCACATACCACAGCCGGGGCATGTCCGAAATAGAGGTGAGATGATATGAAATGAAAGAGGGCGTTTCCATTGCGAAGGCAAAGTGGCCATCTGTGCCCTCTATTTGCTGACAGTTTCATTGCCCTTCTACAACAATTTCAATCTCTCTCTATCTCTCATCTCTATTTTTCTTGATTCCTTTTATTGTTTCTTCTTTGGAGAATCGAATTGGGTATCCCTTTCCATGAGGAGAATGAATAATGCAACCCTTTTGACTTGTGCGGTTGCTTGCTATTGCGAATGGAATTATATGTTTGAAGTGAAAGCTTACATTTTACACATGTTTCAGATCACATGACATGGCATATGATGTATTTGTCCTTGAAAAGGAAGAATGGATTCAATGCATGACAAATGAGAAGACAAGGAGGGGGAGAGAGATCAAAAATGGAAGGAAGAGAACCAGAGGAGGAGGTCGTCGGGGAGGAGGAGGAGGTCGTGGCTGACGGCAGAGGAAGAAGAGAAGCGGCACAAAGGACAGGAGAAGACTCCGCAGACATGGAACCATCTCTCCACGCAGCTTCTGTGGAAAACATGCGAACACCCCAATGTCTTTACTTCCTCTCCTCCTCCTCCTCTCTTCTTCTCCTTCACCATCCTCATCAGACACACACTGCAGCACTCTTCCTCTTCCTCTTCCTCTTCCGACATTGCTGCTTTGGTAAGAACCTCTCCTCCTCCTCCTCCTCCTCCTCTACCCTTCCAGAAATACATCCACTTCTCTATTCCCATCCCCTCTTTCACCTTTTTCTTTGTTTTTTGTGAAGGAACAAATGCCCCTTTTGAGTTGTGTGTGCAAGTGTTTTGTAAGTGGCCTTTTGTTCTGTCTGGATTGCGATTTACGTAATGAGCCCTTCTTTTGCACCCACCTAATCTCGACTCTTACTTTCCAACTTTTCTTTCTTATTTTCGCGATTTTTTTTAATTTAAAAAAAAAAAAAGAAAAGGCGACGTTTTATCTTGGGTTAGATGTACGGTCCGTTTCATCGTACCCTAAAAAACGTGACATTCACTCGCACATCTTAACTAACATAGTTTACACTCGAACTGTTTTTTGTTTAAAATCTCGTATGTTCAAAGTTTCCTCCTAATTAACAAGAAAATATATTTTTTTTATTAAGAGAATGATGACGGTGACTTGAGTCTTAGGACAGAAACCACTTTCGGGGTTTAGGGCAGTGACTCATCATCAGCCGCATTCTGGAGTAAAAACCGCCAGTTCGTCCAGAGGGTTTTCCGGGAACGGCAACTGGCCAACGCGTTCTTCCCTCCCCGCGGGCAGAGAGTGGGAAAGAGGTATAGAGAGATGAAATTTGGTTGATGGCGATTTCTGAATCGATTTCAGAGTTCAGATTACGGAGTCAAGTTGGAGATGAATGGCAAGAGCTTCTTCTACCCGACAACTTCTCAGATCCAGACCTACCACCCTCCCGCCCTCTTCTGATCCCCTCGACGCTCCGGCTCCTTCTTTTGTTCGCAGTTTCAAGCTTCTTAACAAGTCTCGTGCCATCGGACACCTCTTCCAATTCCACTCGAGGCTCATCACTTCCGGTCTCTTTCGTGATCCCTCTTGGTCTATCAGATTATTGAAGTGTTCTTCTCTTTTCGGCGATGCGGGCTACACACTTTCCATCTTTCGCTGCATCGGCAAGCTCTATTGCGCCAATACCGTCATCAAGGCGTATTCCATATCTTCTTCTCCCCAACAAGCCTGTGGTTTTTACTGCGAGATGCTGAGATATGGTTTTGTTCCCGACAGTTACACCTTCGTGTCGTTGTTTGGCTCTATCGAGAAAACATGCTGCATTAATTCCGGCAAAATGTGTCACGGTCAGGCCATTAAGCACGGATTCGACCAAGTTTTACCTGTTCAAAACTCGTTGATCGCTATGTATGCCAGTGGTGGGGCTCGCGAGCTTGCTGATAAGGTGTTTGCTGAAATACCGAAGAGGGACATTGTGTCCTGGAATTCGATGATTTCCGGGCTGGTGAGAGATGCTGATTTGGGGTTTGCCCATAACATGTTCGATCAAATGCCTGACAGAAATGTAATCTCTTGGAATATCATGATCAGCGCTTATCTGGATGCTGGCAATCCCGGAGTTTCCCTTAAATTATTTCGACAAATGGTCGGAGCAGGATTCCGTGGAAACGACAGAACCGTGGTCTTGTTACTGAGGGCTTGCGGCAGATCAGCTAGGCTGAAGGAAGGCAGGTCCGTGCATGCATCTTTGTTAAAAACGCTACTGAATTCAAATGTAATCATCGACACTGCTCTTATCGACATGTACTGCAAATGCAAGGAAGTCGAGTCAGGACGTAGGATTTTTGATAGTCTCTCGCTTAGGAATGTAATCACTTGGAATGTGATGATATTGGGGCACTGCCTTCACGGATATCCTCAGGATGGCCTTGAGTTATTTGAATCCATGGGCAATCAAACCAAGTTTAAAAGACGAGATTCTACATCTGAGCTCATTCCCGATGAAATCACATTCATAGGTGTGCTCTGCGCATGTGCTAGAGCTGGGCTTGTTTCACAAGGCGAAAGCTACTATACCCAGATGGTCGACGAGTTTGAGATTAGACCCAATTTCGGGCACCTCTGGTGCATGTCTAATCTTTATGCCGGTGCTGGGCTCGTTCAAGAAGCACAAGAAATGCTGAAGAAGCTGCCAGAGGAAGATGGGATGCCAGAATCCTCGAGATGGGCAAGCTTGCTTAGCACATCCCGTTTCACGGGCAACACGGCAATGGGGGAGAGCATTGCCAAGCTCCTGATTGAGGGGGACCCGCTCAACTACACTTACTATCGTTTGCTCATGAATGTCTATGCTGTGGCTGGGCGGTGGAAGGATGTCGAAAGAGTGAGAGAGGTTGCAAAGGAGAAGAAGGTCGTAAAAGTGCCTGGCTGCAACCTAGTGGACTTGAAGGATATAGTCCATGACCTACAGCTCGGTGACAAAGAGGCTGATTCGGTCAACGCCGTGGTAAATGAGTTTTGGTCTTGCTGAACAATTAGCATCAGGGCCCCAAAAGCTCTTGCGGCCATGGCATTAACTTTGTTGCCAATGGACAATGCCGCTGAGAGACTGCCTTGTCACGCGGCCCGGGTGGTGCTTGATAACCTCTAATACCATTCGCTCTCGGGCAGAGTTTTTCCTTTTTCCCTCTTTACCAATTGAAATGATGAGAATTTTTGGATGAGTTTTAAGCTCTTGTCCTTTTTTTCCCCATAGCATTGGAAAGTTTAAGCCTTTTCTCTATCTACAGTACCGGCAAAAAAATAATGTCACTCGCGGATGAATACCGAACCGAACTAACTAGAAAAGGATGTTTCTTCCTCTGTCTTCTAGAACATGCTCTCTGCTTCTCCTCTTTATTCATTATTATACAGTATGCAATTCAAGACGGGTCCACTTCTACAAAAGCTGCAGCATTTATATGTATGTACATGTTCACATGCATACATATGCCCGTCTCATAAACATTCCGGAAGACTTCCTTCCTAACGATGATGGAGCTCTGTCACTACGGACTTATGTCTCGCAAGCGGCACAAGAAGCTGAAGCAGTTTCAGGTATCGCTCTGTCCGTTTTAATTTGAAGTTTGTGGAACGTTTTCACGTAACTGACTGATGTATGTATAGTAAATAAACGTGATGGGTGGAATGGAAGCAGAGGATGGAGATAAAAGTGAAAATGGACTGCGAAGGGTGCGAGAGAAGAGTGAGGAAGTCAGTGGAAGCCATGAAAGGGGTCAGGAACGTCACCGTCGATCCCAAACAGAGCAAACTGACAATGGAGGGCTTTGTTCAACCCGGCAAGGTGGTACCTTTGCCCGCTCTATTCGAAACCCTAATCAGATGTGAATATATATGTGTTTATTTACATGAGATATCTTATATCAACATTCTGATAAAATGAGGCTGAAAACTACATCTACGCTATGTGAATATGGGACAGGTGTTAAATAGAGTCATCCAGCGGACCGGGAAGAAGGCGGAGCTGTGGCCTTACGTGGCGTACGATGTGGAACCCCACCCTTATGCCCCCGGCGCCTATGACAAGAAAGCTCCTCCTGGTTACGTCCGGAACCCTTTCTCAGACCCAGAGGCTGCACCTCTAGCTCGCGCTGGCTCTTTCGAGGTCAAGTACACCACTGCGTTCAGCGACGAGAATCCAAACGCCTGCACCATCATCTGAGCGTTTTGACTGTTGCTTTGCAAACTCTGAACTGTGAAAGAATGCATGTTAATAACATAGGATTGTAGTAGAAAGGGTGGAAAGTGAAAGATCAGGCGTCACAAGAGAAGAACAGGCAAGAAAACATGAGAAAGGAGCAGAGGTAGAGGAGGAGAAGAAGAGAGAAAATGGGGAAATGGGAAGCAAGGAAAAGAGAGAGGACAAGAGGCATGAACAGAAGAGGGTGGAGTAATAGAAAGGAGGAAGAGAGGAAGAGGAGGAGACAATAGTAAACGTGAAATATAAATCTGGCAATGGCCGCCCCGAGTAGCATTATGTGTGGACCGACATTCACTCTCTCATGGGCTGTATCGTTATTATATGAAAGCTGCATCATTTGTGATGAAATATTGCGTGAGAGAGGGGACAATGCCAATGCGGCCTGCATTGTAGCCGCACATTTTGTATCTTTTTGCTGCACGTTTCGCATTTATTTGTCTTTGCAACGACTAACCAACATTTTTGTTCATTCACATACAAAATAAAAATAAAAATAACACCCTTACTTTCGCTCCAAACAATCAATTGTTGATGATGGTGTTGCATGAAATAATTATCAATCTATAAACTATATAATAAAAAAAAAAACAATCTTCAACTCCAAATAGCTTTGTTTTTCAAGTCGGGTCTCTTCCTCCTCACAAAGTTTTTTTTTTCTTTTTTTTTCTTCAACAAAAAAGAAAAAAAAAAGAGTAAAACAAATCAAAATCACAAACTGAAGAGTAAAACAAATTATAGATAAGCCCTCCAAGAGAAAAAAAAAAGTCCTTTCAAGAAAAAAAAAAAGGGTATCCAGCATATGGAGCAAGAAACAATACTTGATGACGGCACGGATTTGAATGAGCCGAAAAGAAAAGGGAGAGGTTGTTCATAGGATGGAGCAGGCCTTCTGCGCTTTGCTCTTCTTCTTCTTCTTCTGGTTTGGAGGTTGGAGGACAACCCTGATTGCTGCGTCAAACACCGCCTTCACATTCTGCACCCCCACACCAATGTCTAACATCATCAGTTCTTGTGTTTCTTTAATCAAATGTATATTATATATACATATATATATATATATATATGTATATATATTACCTCTTGAGTTTTGGAACTGCATTCTATATATGTGGGTGCTCCTATTTGCTTCCTCAGCTCCTCCCCCTTTTCACAGGCCAACCCACTTTTGTTTTACTTATCTAATGATTAATGAAACCAAAACAGAGAGCTTCCCCCCCCCCCCC